GGTGGGGTAGCAGGGTGACAGGTGGGGTGGCAGGGTGAGGGGGGTGACAGGTGGGGTGGCAAGGTGACAGGTGGGGTGGAAGGGTGAGGGGGGTGACAGGTGGGGTGGCAGGTACCTTTTTCCCTGGTGGTCCAGTGGTGGCAGACTCCCTGGTGGTCCAGTGGGCTTTCCGGTCTGCAGCTCCGCCGGATGCAGAGCTTCAGACCACATGGAGATTGTCTCGCGATCTCCAGTCAGAGCGTTGCCGTGGTAACCCGCGGCAACGCTCTGATTGGCTGGAGAGCGCGAGACACCTCAGTCTGCAGCTCACACCCGGCGGAGCTTCAGACTGAGGCCGGCTCTCCCGGGCAGACTGACAGGAGGGGCCTCGCACCCGGCGGCATACAGGGCAAGCCACCGGGCCCCCTCCTATGGCGGTTTAGGCGGCCGCGAGGCCCCACACAGCGCGAGGCCTTAGGCGGCCGCCTAAACCGCCTAATTAGAGAGCCGCCTCTGTTGAAGAGTAATCTGAAAGTATAAGCTTAAAAACATGTCATTAGGTGGAAGGTGCACTATATTTGTTTTAATTCTAAACAAAAAACATGAATGAGGGTATTTGTGCTAAAAACCAGAATCAGAATTGTTACACTTCTTGTAAACATCTGTTGAGCTTTTGCAACCATTTATAATTGTATAGCATCTTGCAAAGATGTAAAAAAAAAAGGAAATTCTACTGTTCAGGAGGGAGAACCAAAGGAGAGAGGGAAAATGAGAATATTAATTTATTATGTAAATATATAAGATATAAGAAAAAACACCATAACTATTTTTAAATCAATTCACAGACACACTGCACATAACTTGTATGTGTGCCTGGAGTACTGTTTTAAGCTGCTTAAATCAATTATCACTGAAATATAAATTCAGATAATGAAAAGCAAGAATATGGTTCTCATTATCTGAAATGATATGCTATCTCGGTAGTGTGTATATGGCATCTTTCAGGGTATTGAGTATTCCATGCGGCTTCATCTGGAGAACATCTGCAACAGCAACTCAGGGATTTGATACAAAGGATGGCCATCAGAACTGGCCATTAAAACAGGTTGAGCATTTTGGAAGATGGGGCCAGCAATTCCAACAGTGTTGTAGATAGTTCAGCTAGTATGTTAATTTTCCTACATACGAAAACAGCCATATTGGATGTCCATCTATATGGAGTAAAATATGGTTGTCATAATATGTTATTTCTTTGGTGCGCCACACTAACATAGACCAATCAATTTGTAAAGTGTATACAATGTAGTGCTTCAACCTGTAGATATATTTATTTTGTTGAATGTAGAAGGTAGAAGGCAGCTCAAACAACCCAAACCAAAGTCTCTCTATTTCGGTCCAAAGAAGGTGTTCACAATTGGAAGAGGAAGTAGTGCCTTAAAAAGTTCTAAAGTGTAACAAAAAAATAAATAAAACAGTATGACAGATATGTAGTGCAGTATGTAATATGTAAATGGGAGAAAAATGAAGAGCAGATATACTTACAATATGCAGAGCTATCAGTGAGCTCTACTTCTGTGCACCTGGGTGGGACAATTCCTGCCTCAGGATGTATGGTGTATCCCTGGGTGCAATGGTAAATCTTCCAGAGGATATACAAGATGAGGAGAAAACAAATCCAAATCTAATGTAATATATCTGGTTTGGTAGGTGAAATAAATAATTGTGTAGAAACACAAAGTGTGGAGCCTCCTGGTAACTCCCAGCAAACAGTGTAACGTGGCACAATCCCACTCTAGGATCTTATTACATTGCTGAAGTTCTCATGATGGTATATGTCAATAAAAGCAGAAATAAAATATGGCACTGACTGTGATATACAAAGAATCATAAAAATATTGAAGACGTACTCACTGGTGTAGAGCAAAATCATGGATTTGCTCAATCTTCCTGGCTTAGCTGGTATATTACCCATCAAGGAAATTAACGTACAAACTCAAAAAGAAAGTCAGGATGGTCCTGGAATGTTGTAAACTCTTATACAAAAATAAAAAATATAAGGTTAAATGTGAATAAAAAAGTAAAATAATAACACTAACTATTTTCATCTCTGGCAAGGCTTTTTCAAAGTATTACAGGAACATGGGCACAAACTGTTTAAATTAGGAGCACAATTTTAAATATCACATAGTAATTAACATGATTATACATTAAAATAAAAATCCTTAAATAGGATTAAGAGTAAAGGAGTGGTGGACTAAAGATGGTATAACGGTTATAAAAACAAAGTTTATTAATAAAGAAAAAGTGAATGTAAAACAAGCCTGAACGGGAAAAATGCTCTGTGGTTCTGGTCATGTAACCAGTGAGGCATACATCTGAGCAATGTTTCAAATTTAACACCAAAGGTATTAAGGAAAAAGACTAGTTTTGGGGAGGTATCGGAACTAAAAACATCATAGAAATTAGTTCTATTTGTGGAAATATAGCTTATAATAGATTAAGAGAGGATTCAACAAATGGGCCCTTACACTGGGTTCCAAGTCACACATTTTTAGAGTTACAGGTTAGAACTTTTAAATATTATAGGTTTTTGGGGGCTTGACTGGATTTGAATTCCAACATTTGAGTACTGCTTTTATCAGTATTTTTTACATGATATGCATATTTTTGGTTGGATAATTAGTTCAATATTTGTTTTACTAAAATTGGAGCTTAATATTATTCCCCTGTTGTTGCAATTTAAATGGTTTAATTGATGGTATTGATATACCATGGTGTATTGATATATCAACAATATAGGACCATGGTCATTTCCCATTGAAGATGGAACCATATGGTGGAAACCTCCCAGTCTGCCATAAAAAGGTTGGCGTAACTTGGGACGAATCTGGTACCCATAGTAGTCCCCTGATTTTTGGGCAGTCCCACCAAATATGTAGCATTGTACCCCTATGTACACCACACATCCAGCATTCTGGTTGCACATTGGGGTAAATTCTGGAAAAGCGGCTAGGGGTTAGGTACCACTGGAATATTAGTTTCTTATGGGCTTCTAGATGTGAGTAACGTAATGTCAAACCTTTGAGGACGTTAAAGGAGTGAATACCCTCTTTTTTTTCCATGGAGTCAAAGGACAGGCTAGGGATATTCTCCAGTAGTGTTTTATAGTAGAGAGATAATGCGTAGGTTAATTGGGGTGATTACAACATTGATCACATAACAGTGGAGCATGTTGTAGGGGGTTTGCTATCTTGTTTTTGATAAACCTTTTTGTGTGGTTTTAAAGCAGAATATTTATGAATATAAAAGTTAATATTAGCGATAACAGCTTGTCCATTCAAAGAGAAACCTGATTTTGCAACAGATTTTTGCAGGCAATTAAGATGCACTTCAATAAAGATGAAAAATGCATGTATGTTTTTTAAGCTAATTATTCTAAAACTATTTGTATATGAATGATTAATTTTGAGGAGAAATGATCCAGCAGGAGTTTGCAAATTTTGCCTTCTAGGGGATACGAGGATTTTGTGTGAGCTGCATGAGGCATGATCATCAATGGCTTTGTTTCATGAAAAAAAATGCTTTATGAGTGGTCTGTCATCTATGAACAGGAAATCATCTGCACATATAGAACATTAGTCACCTTTCTTGGGTTGAATGTATACTTGCCCACCATGTTCAGAATTGTAACAGCAGGTTTTGTATTTTTGTAGAAATAGAATAAAAGATGGGTATCTATCCTTTGTATCTTACAGCATAAAGTCAGGAATCTAAAATTCTGACCACCCAGATGTTGATGATTTAGAACTCCCACAAGTCTCTGAATGTGACAGATGGCCATATAATCATATGAGTTGTAGTTCAAGAGTATCTGCGATTATTTTTTTACCAGATTTACCGCAAACACGTTCCATCCTGTGCCCACCTCAGGTCAGGGAATCTCGGGCAAGCTATATGACACCTCTCCCGAGTGTCTACATTGCCAGGAGCCAAAAAAATGTAGCTGTGGCCTGCCAAAGATTAAGACAGGACAGCAGCCGCCCTCGCCCTAGAGTTCGTGGCTCAGACCTGCAGCACTCCAACCCCCCACAGACCGGTGGGGGACATCCCGGTCTACTCTAGCAAGATATACACTGTCAGTGCTGTGGAGGACTTTCTCATTAATACTCACCTGGAGTGAGATGAAGTCTGACAAGATGGCGGACGAAGTGGTACCTGTACTATCCAGGTAGGGAACGAAGGGAGTCACAGCAGAGATAGGCCTAAGGTACCCCTAAACAAGCAGCTGATCCTCCTCTTCTCAACTCTTCCACAGTGAGACCCATCTGGAGACTTACCCCATTACAAAAGTTGCAAATATATCGAACTGCATGTTATCGGAGACGCAGACAACTCCAGACTTTCTGGCGCGCACATGGGAAGACTACAGCCTCCTGGGCTTTCTGAGCAGGTGATACCACAGGACATGCTGCTCCACTGGTCTGAGCCTGGGAAGAAGAAACTCAGCTATGGCACCGCAGTGCTACTCACACAAGTGGACTGCACAAATGATGTGTGAAATGTCTACCCAGCTTGACAGCTTGAGCATAGGATGACTGCCCTGTGTTCCTCCCTGTGTGCTGCCCAGATGTGTGGACACTGTGACCTCCCTATCTCTGGCACTGATAACTTTTTCTGACAGATCTGATATTACTTTCCTTCTCATGTTTAGCACTGCTCCTTCATACTCATATTCTCCACACTCTGACACAGCAGCTCAAATAATTTTCTTTATCCTGTACTTTCTCTAGTGTTATGATTAGACCTATGGTTCAGCCTGTTTATTAAAAAAATAAAATAATTAGCAATTTCTTCATATGCCATGAAGCTGTATGTGTGTTTGCAATATGCTTGTCAATGCTGTCGTGGCAATACAAGTCTGTATGTTATTCCTTGAACTATGAAAATAAAGAATAAAAAAAAAAAACACTTTAGAATACTTAAGGGTTTACTATGGTATTATTTGAAAATAATGTAATCTCAGTTCTGTAAACTTCCAGAAACCAAAAAGATGTGGCATTATACACCCTGACACACATTCCACCATTATGTATTTTATATATTGCATAATTTTAAAAAAAACATTTTAGTGCCCTTCTGTTAAAAAATAAATGTGATGCCATAGACTGGTCCCTGATCTGGAGGGCATTCACTGGGTTATTTGCTAAAGTGAGAATTGTCTGGATTTCACATTTTAGACTAAAATAGATAAACTGGAACTGGAAGCAGAGCTGACTTGGAGAATTTTTCCAGTTCAGTTATTTTGGCCTGAAATTTGAAATTAATTTTGAAATCACATGTCTGTGTGTATGTGTGTGTGTCTGTATGGGGGGGGCCCACGGATCAGTTTTGCACTGGGGCCCCATGAATTGTGGTGTACGCCACTGGATGCACTCATGCTGCTCTTTGTAGAGTCTAACTTAACTTCCTAGTGTCCAATATCTTGTGACACCAGAGAATAAACTGAGATAGGTGGGACTGAACTAAGAATTCAGGAGTTCAGGAGTTACAGACATACACGTTCATACACACAGACAGGGGCGGTCTCAGGCCATTAGGCACCCTGCGCGAAAAAACATTACAGCGTCCCCCATTCTACCCAATCACACACCTTCATCCATGTATGTGTGTGTGTATAGGTGTGGTATGTAAATTAATAATGATTTAAAAATAATTATTAATTACCCCTTACCTGTTACCTTGCAGTAAAGGAGGACTGTGGGTGTTCCAGTGTGCTGAGAATCTGGCCTGCCCCTTCACTGGGTACAGACTAGGAGTAGCTGTCTCGTTAGCTCAGGCATTTACACACACTCAGTTACAGGCACAGAGTCACACACATGCAGTTTCAGGCAGACAGTCACACACACTCAGTTACAGAAGACAGTCACACACACGCAGTTACAGTTACACAGTCACACACACAAAGTTACAGGCAGAAAGTCACACACACACAGTTACAGGCAGACAGTTACACAGACATACACTCAGTTACAGGCACACAGTCACACACATGCAGTTACAGGCAGAAAGTCTCACACACACGCAGTTACAGGCACAAAGTCACACACATGCAGTTACAAGGAGGCAGTTACACACGCTCATTTATAGGCACACAGTCACACACAGTTACAGGCACACAGGCACACTCGGTAACAGGCAAACACACACACAGGAACAGGCAAATAGGCACACACACTCAGTAACAGGCAGACAGTCACACATAGGTACAGGCAGACAGTCACACACACAGTTACAGTCACACACAGGCAGACAGTCACAGTCAAACACGGGCAGACAGTCACACACAGATGCAGACAGTCACACAGTCAGACAGGCAGACAGACAGGCAGACAGACAGACAGACAGACAGACATCCAAGCACACAGACAGGCAGACAGACAGTCAGGCACACAGGCAGACAGACAGGAGGCAGACAGACAGACAGACAGACAAGCAGGCACACAGATAGACAGGCAGTCACACAGACAGGAAGGCAGAGAGACATGAAGGCAGACAGGCAGTCACACAGACAATTACCTCTTTCCATTATGGCCAGAATGGAGTAGTGTAGGCAGTGCAGCTCCTTAAGTCAAGTTGTTAGGGAAGCAGGGACTCCTTCCTGCTTCCCACTTCCTGTTCAGCAGTTACCAGGGGCTTTTGATAGGCTTTAACCCGCCTCTGCTGCCATTGTAGCTCTGCCTCCTGCTAAGCCCCACCCTGCCACTTGGCAAGCTTAGGCCCTTCCGTCTACAGCCCCAAGTGCTCCTATTACAACTGTGACCATTACTGCCTTCATTTTCCAAATCCATTTTAGCTCCTCTTTCAGTCCTTGGTATTTGGCCAATTTTTTATTGGACATCTGTTCTTGATGGTATGGTCATTGGGTATTGCCTTATTCACCATCACTGCATTCTTTCATTCCATGTTTACCACCACAGTGTTGAGTTTGTTAGACACTATTTGCTTGTCTGTCTGAATCTGAAAGTCCCACAGGATTTTAATCCTGTCATTCTCAACAACCCCAGGTGGTACACCGCATCTAGACTTGGTCAAGCCTATATTCTTTTTTCTATTTATTTTTTGTCAATCACATTTTTTTAGATGTCAGCACACACTATTTGACAAATAATACCAGGTGTCTTCCCGGAGCTACTGCTCACAGAGACAGGAGACGTATCTGTAATATTGTTAAGTGAGCAAAGCAGGAAGGGGAATTGGATGTACTTGTCCATCTAGGGACAAATGACTTGGCTTGCAATGAGGTTTCAGAGGTTAAGGAAGTTTTTAGTGTTTTTGCCAATGATATACGGCAGGTTGCTTCCACACTGTCTGTGAAGGACTTTTATGTATTTGCCTGTGTGCTTTCAGCTTAATCCTCTCCCTGCTGCTTTAATATCTGTATTTGTTCGGTTCAAAATGTTTAGAATAAATGTATTCGTTTACCGAAAGAGGACCACACACCCTGGGTAGCAATTAGCATTAGAACGCAGAGAAACCGTGACTTAATTGCTACTAGGTGGCCGCCATTCGACATTCGAACACGTGGCGAGAACAAAGGATGGCGGCCATCTTAAAACTTACGAATGCAGTCAGCGGGGCTTACGCATGAATTACATGGAACTAATTTCGGTACGGGAAACATGCAAACGCCCAGTCACCACGGAAGTCCTGGATGAATACGTTCCCCTACACGAATCCAACTGGCGTTCGGTAGATAGAATCTACCGAACGAGGGGAACATTCACAGGTGACCAGCTGCACCATATGAACGGTGGTTTTCGTGCAGTTAGATGCGAAAGGAGACCGGCTCTTGCTACTGATTCTCTGGAACTCAAAATCAGATACCTCCACATGGCGAGCCGGTCAAACTTCCACACGATGCGACATGGAAACTACCGAACGGAAATTCGTGAGATTTGGATATATGACTACCAGTATCCTCAGCTACCCAGGGATGAAATTATGTTTGTATGTGGCATAAAACTTTTCTAAAATTGTTAAAAACTGTAATATTTTTGGCCAGCAGATAATTGAGCTTTGTGTATTGTAGAAACTCAATTATCTAGCCTGGCCCAGAGGAGGAGTTTTGTGTTGCATAAATTGTGAGTTCTGTGTGCCAGTAAATCAGTCTTGTTCCAGAATTAAGCTTTGGCTCATGTGTGGATTATTCGGCGATTCCAGGGATATTTCTACTTATGGAATATTGAGTGCTTTTCTTTTATGGGAAGAAGGGAATGCTTGACGGGGATATCTTATACTACCGTCACACTGTCATTCTCTGAAGTTCTGCCTGTGCATAACACTCAGAACGACAGGCGGATGCGTATTAGGGACTTTAATTTGTGGCTTGGTGAATGGTGTCGGGAGCAAGGATTTGGCTTTATTTCTCACGGTAGCTCTGTTTGGAATGGAAATAACCTATACAAAAAAGATGGTTTGCATCTTTCTCAAAAGGGAACAAATGTTTTCAGTGAGCAGTTCAGAGGTTTTGCTAGGTTGTATTTAAACTAGGAGGGAGGGGCAAAAGGGTGATAAAACATAAATCCAATTGTCCCCCAAAACAAGGACAGAAGGTGTCTGTAGCAAGTGTGTTAAAAAATGATAAGCTTAGAGTCATGTCTACAAATGCTCGCAGTTTAGAGAATAAGATCAATTAACTTGTGGCAATAATGGCAACTGATAGTGTAGATTTAGTCGCTGTTACTGAGACATGGTATAATGAGAAAAATGACTGGGACATAGCAATACCAGGGTACTCTTTATATAGAAAAGACAGGGAAGGCAAGAAAGGGGGAGGGGTGGTCCTGTATGTGAACGATAGCATAAAATCTAGCCTAATAAAAGTTAGTGAGGTGAACATAGAGTCCGTTTGGGTTACCTTAGAATTTGGTAATCACACAGTAACTCGTGTAGGTGTGATTTATAGGCCCCCAGGACAAATTGAAGAGTTAGATAATCTACTAGTTGTAGAGTTATCATCACGGATTACTTTAATCTTCCTGATGTGATTTGGAAAACAAAAATAGCTGCTTGTGCCAGGAGCACACATATTCTAAACTCCCTACTGGGATTGTCTCTAAAACAAGTCTTTGAGGAGCCAACTCGTAAAGAGGCCATACTTGATTTAGTGTTAACAAATGGAGATTTGGTATCAGATATTACTGTAGGTGAATGTTTAGGATCCAGTGATCATCAGTCAGTGTGTTTTAATATAAGAACAGTGACTGAGTCACACCACACAAAAAACAAAAGTTTTAGACTTTATAAAAACAGACTTCTCTAAAATTAGAATATGTGTAGAGGAGTCATTATCAGACTGGAGCAATTTAAATGGAGTCCAAAAGAAATGGGATTATTTAAAAGTTGCACTACTGAAGGCAACAGAAAATTGCATTAGGCTTGTCAGTAAAAGCAAACAAATCAAGAAACCACTGTGGTACTCCGCAGATGTGGCCAAAATAGTTAAAAAACAAAAAGTTAGCATTTAGTAATTATATAAAAAAAAACAGAGTGAGGAAGATAAAATGATCTATAAGATTAGACAGAAAGAGGCTGAGCAAATCACACACAGAAGAGAAAATAGCACAGTCAGTAAAAAAAAGGGAGACAAAACTTTTTTTCGATACATAAATGAGAAAAGAAAAGTAAAACAAGGATTAGTTAGATTAAAAACAAAAGAAGGAAGGTATGTAGAAGAGGATAAAGGTCTAGCTG